GGAGGCCGGGCTCAAACCCGGACAGGCTGGCCAGCTCCTGGCACGCGCACTACTGCCTGGTCGCAGGACCCCTGGGCACAGGGACGGTGTCTCGGGCACCCCTGCGTTCACGTGGCTAGTGCTCCGAGTGTGTTGAAGTGACTAGCCCGTCCCTGTGTCCGATTTACATCCTCTTCCTGCAACCTAAGCCCCTTCCCTCTGGTTTGATATCAAAAGAGATAAAACACTTGGTTGGTTAACATTTTTATATTCGTCCTGCATGATGTTTGTATAGTATTATATTTAATTTTAAAGAGTCCTTTTCCTTGAATATTATAAGTATTCAGTGTTGTTAATGGAGAGATATATTGGAACCAGAAATTTTTCCAGACCCCCTAGCCACCCAAAAAGGAAATTAAAGAAAGAAAAAATAGACCCAGAATATTTTATTTATTCATACTCCTCCTTGTACAAAACATTGTTAAGGCAGCTTCCAAAGCAAAATATAGCATGATCAAAAAAAAAAATTAAAACAAGGAAAATGAAGCAACATGAAATACTGGTAGGGAAATATGTGGGGGCCAGGAATTAACTTAGCATACAGTCCGCGCCCTGAGGTTCCTGCGCCTGCGCCAGGGAGGGCCAACTGCAGAGCTCAGGGCTGGAACCAGCAGCTGCCCGGCCCAGCTGCTCCTGACGCTGGGGCCGGGGCCGGGGCAGGTTTTTGCCACGGGTCCTCCCAGAAAAACACTACTTCATGTAACAAACAACTCTCTGAACCCGTCTCCACAGCAGACGTGGTGATGGGTTTCATGGGGCTGTTTCTTATAATGCACCTCGGGAAAGGCTGATGGCTTCTTACCAGAATGCAGTGCACTGGGAGGAATTTCGGGGGGCACCTGCAGGCGCAGCCCCACGGCTATAAGGCCGTCTCCAGATGAGGCCCTCCGGCAGGATCCGGGCCACAGGAACACAGTACCTGTGAGCCTCCTGACAGCCGATGTGTGTGGGGAACAGGGGCACTGTGTTTCTCTCCAGGGAGCCAATAGCTGACAGCTAAGGCTTCATCAGAATCCGGGCTTGGGGGAGGGGGGTGTGGGGTGGGGAAATGGGGGGAGGTTGGGGGGTTGGGGGGGTGTCAAGAAAGGGAAGAGCCTTCCCCCCGCCCCGCTCCAGGGCAAGCTCTGTAAAAGGTGTCCAGCAACAGGGGCCTCAGGGCCATGGGTGCCCAGAGGCAGAGGTCCTGCCAGCCAGGCCCCTGCAGAGAAAGCCATGCTCTCTCATGACGGCCACTAAGAGGTCCACTTGGCAGGGCCAGTCCTCCTCAGACAGAAACCCAGTGTTCATTCCAACACAGGCAGATGGGCCATAATACAAATTACATATAATTTTTCTAAAATCAACTAGCAAGGTATCATCAAGGAATGTTACATTTAAATGATAGAGCAAAATTTAAAGACAAACATTTTATAACTTTGCCCCTAATCCTCACTTGTTATTACTTGCAACTTAAACAGCCTTGATTTTATTTCCAGATGTGTAGACACTTACTTTTTTTTTTTTGTTAATCCTCACCCGAGGATATTTTTTCCACATTGGTTTTTAGAGAGAGTGGAAGGGAAGGAGAGAGGGATGGAGAGAGAGAGAGAGAGAGAGAGAGAGAGAGAGAGAGAGAGAGAGGGAGAGAGAGAGATGGAGAGAGAGAGAGAGAGAGAGAGAGAGAGAGAGAGAGAGAGGGAAAGAAAGAAAGAAAGAAAGAAAGAAAGAAAGAAAGAAAGAAAGAAAGAAAGAAAGAAAGAAAAAGAAAGAAAGATCAATGTGAGAGAGACACATGGATTGGTTGCCTCCCTCATATACCCGACCAGGACTGGGGATTGAACTTGCAACCCAGTACATGCCCTTGACTGGAATCAAACCCGAGATCCATCAGTCTGTGGGCCTGCACTCTAACCTCGACGCCACACCTGCCAGAGCTAGACTCTCTAATTCACCCCGAATATATGTTGGCTAGAGAGCCCTCTAAAGCTAGCCAAGGCTTCGGGACCTGTCTACCTTGTGTGGTATTAAAAGTTTTTTTTCACTTCGTATAGCCACAGTTTCCCCTCCGCTGTGCCCGGGGTAGTGTGATTTGCCATCCAAAGTGGTTTGGTCCAATTAAAGGGCCCCTGGTGTGCCCTCCCGGCCTGCGGGTTGACCGGGAAGGTGAGCTGCTGCTCCTCATGCCTCCTGCTGAACCTCATCACCAGGCAGAAGCACACCTGCCAGGGACAATGTGAAACTCTATCACATGAAGGGAGTCATTTCTTCTCCACTAAAACAAATCCGAAGGAAGCAGAAAAGAGGTTTCCCTCCAGCAGTCATCTCCAGCACTAGGCATGTTCCTCCAGCCTCTGAAATTGTCTTCACTATTGTGAACTGCTTTGACAAGAATTTCTTGGAACAACTTCCTTTCCAAACCAGCATCTCTACTGGACGAAGTATTTTTAAAGATATAATTCAAATAGAAAACATGTGTTTTTGAAAGAGAACTGTAAAGTACTTCTACCACATTCTCAGAGATAGTTATTAGAGTATCTGTTCCTGGCTACAGAATTCCAGTGTTAAAAAGTCATCTGTCTCCATTCTCTCCACACCCTACCTTCATTGCGATCAGCCCCTGGAGAAAGGGAGATTTAGAGAGGCAAAAGGAGACATGTATTGAGGTTCTATTGAACATAGTCAACAAGAATTAATATTTTTCCAGTGTCATGCAATAGGTTGATATTTCAAACTCCTAGCACCATTTTGGAATATAATTTTAGTGGTTAATATATGAGGAAATTAGGAATCTTTATTTCTTGTTCTTTTTATTAAAGAGAGAGAGAGAGAGAGAGAGAGAGAGAGAGATCATTCTAGAAGCACCTTGGAATGTATCTGATGTCCCATGGTCTCTTTTTTTTTTAAATGCACAATTCTATGCTCTTTACAAACTAAGGTATTTTAGTGGAGAAACAAAGCAGGAGTTAATTAGAAAGATCTTCATCGTCAGACTCCCCTCCTTGAGGTTTCATGTGCTTGCATTCAGTCATCCGTTCCTTTATCTTCACATTCAGTTACTTAACATATTTATTGAGCATCTATGTGTACGGCGGTGTATTTAGTGATTGGACAAAAATCAAGAACAAAGGACAGGATCTCTTTCTTCCTGAACTTTAAAGTCTAGTCTGGAAAATAGACATTCAATAAACTAATTTAAAAATAGCTATAATAGAACTGTGCAACACGAAGAACGAGCCCTAGTGTAAACTCTGGGCTTCAGTTAATAATAATGTGTCAAATATGGTACATCAATAGTCACAAATGCCCACAGGAATGCAAGAGGTTAATCATAAAGGAAACTGCCTTCGCTGGTTTGGATCAGTGGATAGAGTGTCAGCCTGGGGACCGAAGGGTCCCAGGTTCGATTACGGTCAAGGGCACATGCCTGGGTTGTGGGCTCGATCACCAGTAGGGAATGTGCAGGAGGCAGCTGATCAGTGATTCTCTCTCATCATTGATGTTGCAATCTCTCTCTCCCTTCCTCTCAACTCAATAAAAATATATTAAAAAATAATAATAAAGGAAACTGTGTTAATGTTGGCATATGGGAACTCTGTGCCTTCTATGTAAATTTGTTCTAAGTACTCTAAAAAATAAGGTCTCTTAATAAAATATTGTAAATAGCTATAAAAGATAAGCACTTTATAGGAAATAAACAGGATGCTAGTAAGAATAGTGGGGTGACATAATTTGGATGGGGAATGAGGAGGGACCTTTCTGGGGGAGAGTTGTTTAAGACCAGAACTAGAGAATAAGGAGGGCCTGGCCAGGCAAAGAAGAGAAGGAAACATTTCCAGGAGAGCAAAGTGATCTTTTGAACTTCCTTTGTAAATGTCATTCATGTTTCTCTGTGGAGGATGCATTGTGGGAGTGGGTGGGAGTGGGGAGGCAAGAGGACAAAGGAAACAAATTAGGAGGCAATTAGAATGGACCACCACTTTCCCTATCCACTCAAGGTGTTAGGAGAGCAGAGTGACAGTAGGGTTTCCTTGGCTCAGCTGATGCCCTGAAACCTTCAGTTGCCCAGTATTAGGAGGAAAGGAGACTATCAGTGGCAGCAAGATGGGGTTCCTAGGTCTTAGTTCCTAAGGTCTTTCCAGTGGCTCAATGGAATTTATAGCGTGAGGAACGATTTTGTGTGTGTGTGTGTGTGTGAGTGTGTGTGTGTGTGAGAGAGAGAGAGAGAGAGAGAGAGAGAGAGAGAGAGAGAGAGAGAGATTGAGAGTACAACCAGATGAGAATTACAAGGGGGAAAAAGCTTTCAAGTATTAACTCCCCAGGTGTAACAACAGATTTTCATAGAAGGCTGTATAAGGTATAATTTGCAATAGTTATCTTTATTTCTGCTACTGGATTGTTGGAAGTTATTTTGGTTTTGTTTCTTCAAAGACTAATTGTTTTCATATTGTTGATAAATCAACAAAGAGGACAAATAAGAAAGGTCCATCTAGGCGGGGCACTGTTTTAGTCCATCAGCGGTTCTTAGGGATGGTGAATTCCTAAGGAAAACAACTCCAGGGTACATGTCAGCCTCTAATAGATTTCTATTGGTTCTGGAACTGTTATTAGTAGCATGAAGCTTAAATAGTTAAATATTTTATTTCCGTGTAAAATTAGGTAGTTCTGTAATTACATAATCTACTTCATCATTTGTCAGCTTTACCTGCCTATTGAAATGTGTACTTGAGAGTTGCAGGACATTAACTATTTTTATGCATTTCTTTTTACAGTAGAACATTTGAATGTGATGTTTATACATTACATACAAGAACATTTGATATCTGAAAAAGTCTTTAGCAAATTAGCATGCATTTTATAGCACTTAGCTAATACGGATACAAAATGGTCACTATAAATCTTATCGTTTTTGTTTTCTGTATTCCTGGAAACACAAACACTAAGTCAAGAATTCCCCATTTGACCAGACCTGTTGTTTATTTTAGGAAATAGAAGTGCGCCATCAACGTAATTTTAAGTCGTTCAATTGTGAATATGGGATGAAGCGGTAACATAAAGTTTTCCACTGTGATGTCTCCATTAAGAAGCTCCTCTTTGTGTAAAAGAGTCCATGACAAAGTTCCTTCTATTTAAAGTAGTGAGTTTGATCTTGGCTTTGATCTAAAGCTTTTGATCTTGAAAGAAGGATGGAGCAGCAATAAAGAGAGGGCAAGGCAGATTTTCTTTAAAGAAATGCGATAAAGTTAAAGTGCTGGTCAGGCTCAGCGAACGCGTGCCCCAGCCTGGCTCAGCCCATTTCGGATGCGGACGTGAAGAAAGCCTTTCTGGGGTCGGCGGGAAAAACTTGGGACATCATACATTTTTATGAACGAAATGCAAACCTTTCCTCTAATTATGAAGACAGACTGTCCACCGAGTTGCTTAGAAGGCTCCTGGGCAGTGCGCGTGCCGCGCGGGCTACCTGCTCAGGGCGCACTGGCTGCCGCGGCGCGGGGAGAGCACGGGCTGCTCTTCTGCTACCAGAGAGATCACCTGCGCCGCCCCGAGTCCCGAGGAGCCCCTGGAAAACGCCTACTTAATGGCGGATAAATGCATTCCCGGAGGGAAAAAACTCCCTTAGCAAAGTTCCTTTCCCCGGCGAAGGCCATCTGGACACAGGTTTCTGACCAGAGGAGCGAGTTCAGACTGGCCGCAGGGGTGCGGGCGCTTCTGCTCGCGCGCGGGCAGCACCTCTGCTCCCGAGGCGGCCGACAAACCCTTTTTTGGGGAGAGCAGCGCCCGCGCGGTGGGGACCGGAGCGGTAGGGCGTGCGCACCGGAGCGGTCTGCCCGCAGGAAGGCGCGGCGCGCGGGCGCCGGCCAGACCCGGGGCGCACGGCGTTTGCCGAGAACAATAAAACCGCCTTCGCGCCGCGGGGGCGGGGGCGACCTGCGCGAGCGGGAGCGGGAGCGGCGCCTAT